TATATATTCATTCACACACAAAAACTGAGTAGGGTTTTGAAGATTTAGGTTAATTTTGTTTAGTTTTTGTGATATTTTGCTATTATCTATATTTTTTATTGGCCTGTAGGCTATCTGTTAACACTCACTGTTATAATGAATGCCAAAGCTTTAAAAATGTTGTTTGCTTGTAGCATGTCTCATCACCTGCTAAATGATTTTGATGCTCACAGTTCATGGTTCCTGTTTAGTTCCCAAAATAATAAAAAGGATTAAAGCCCACATTGTTTACAGATGAACTGTATTTGCCTCTGGTTCTTTGCACCTTTGAAGAACTTTGGTAGCTGGATGTTATGTTGGATTAGTCATCAGACAAAGTTGTTCTCCACTGTACACAGTCTAAATCTGCTTTCAGGTATTTGGGTACCATTTGCTCACTGGTTCCTTTATCCAGCAGCAGAGTGGAGCCTGGTTTCAAACATTATTCTGTTAAAGCCATGTTTACAGAACATGTTTTTTCTAATCCATAATATAAAATCATCAGTTCTAGCATTGTTAGCACTGATGTTGGATGATTATTTTTATTTGATATTTTATTTAGCTCTGGTCAGATTTTAAAATAAATTTATTTTTTTTCCTGCTGCCAGTAACTACGAGTGGTATCCATCAGTATTGCTGCTTACAGCCATTGAAGATGTTGATAAAATTGTTTATAATGAGAAATTTGATCTGAAATTTTTTCTTTCTTCTCTGGTGGTGTCACCATTTCCCTTATAAGTGCTGTAAGTGTTCTTGTAAAAACAAGATTAGTTTCATTATATGTATTGATGTTTTATAGGAAATGGACTGTATTTATATATCACCTATCCATCTACCAGTAATCAAGATACTCAAAGTGCAAACAATACAATTCGTGCCATCATTTACCTCCACACACACATTCATGCAGCACTCTACCAGATCCCTACAAAGCCAATCTGAATCTGTAGAGAATTATCAGAGCTTTATCACATTCATACACTGATGGGTCACACATCAGAGGCAATGAGGGGTTCAGTGTCTTGCCCAGGGACACTTCAGCATGTGACTGCTGCTGGAATCGAAGCTCCAACTCTCCCATTGGAGGACGACTGCTCTAACCACTCAGCCAGTTGCCCCGTATGCTGTGCGTCGTGTACATGCATTCAGCACATTGTTACTGGACATAGTTAGCCATGCAGGAATTATTCTTAGTCAACGACGTATGGTCAGACCACTGAACTGCTCTAAGGATTGAGTTATTAGATTCTCTGGACTGAAACTCATCAAACCTTATTTTCCACACAGCAGGAAGTTGGGACCCATACAAAGAGGCCAAGGCAGTCAGGGACACACAGAGCCACATGTGGTTGGTAGCTTGGCCCAGACTGATTCAGGAAGTGGGGCAACTCACATCAAAGACAACTTGTGTTGGACAGGGGGCCAAAAGGCCCAGGACAATGACAGACACAAGGACCAACTCGAGTACAAATATGACCACTGGCTCTGACCCTCCTCATTGTTCTTCTTTGGTTTCACTGACAATTTTTCCACAAGGATGCACTGTACTTGCACATTTGCCACTTACACAAAGCACAGTGCAGCTGTGCTTGTGAGCTGATTTTGCAGAGCTATTTTAGCAAACACAACCTTTGAGCTAACATTAAAACAATGTTGCTGGGAAAAACGTTTGTATTCTGGTAGTCATATTGGGTTTATTCAGGTCTATTATTAAACTTTAATTTTAAAGTCTAACATGCGTGCCACTCTCTTTTGTTTGTTTCATCAGCTATTCCTCTGATCAGTTGTCCCCAGGGTTACAAGAGGATCAACAGTTCTCAGTGTCAAGGTAAGACATTCAGGACATTCACATTGTTGCTCAGTTCTTTTACCACTTTGGCCCAGATGGAAACATCGCACAGACACTGTTTATCAGAATAAAATCACATTAGAAACAGCAGTTGTTGAAATAAAACCTCCAAAAATTATGTTGTTTAAACGATGATTGTGTAAAAACTGTAAAATATTTCAAAATGCCAGTTCAGTCATGTAAAACCCAGTTTTTGTGAACCGTTTAAACATTTCTACAGTGTTGTATGTCTGAGCTTTATAAAGCCAAAAAGGGATGTGTTTTTATAATGCTGTATGTGACAATTTATCTACACTGTACCTTTTACTGCCAACTAAAGTCAAAGCTCACTATTTTTGATTGAACCGCTCATTTTCTATATTTTGCCTTTTTTTTTTTCTAAATCTTTGGGAGAAACTGCAAATCAAACATTATGATGGGAATAAAGACAAAAGGATGCTTCAGTGCTTATTCTTTTGGCACCCTTAAATAAAGTGGGAAAATTCTACATTAGCAGAGATAAAATTGATGATTGAATCGAATTGAATTGAATTCATTTCATCAATTGATAATTGATGAAATGATAGATTTTTCTTGTTTTTTCAGTTGTGGGTGGTTTTCTTTGTGAGACTGATGTTGAATTTTACTGTCTGACCTGCATCAGCTTTATCAGCATGAATTTGTCTATAAAAAGAAAGCTCCCTTAACCAACAGTACTGATAGAATGAAATTAAAATTTGTTGCTTTACAAGTCATTTTGGGCACACTTGACTCAGAAAACCAAAATCCCAATATTTAACATCTCAGTATATTTATCTAAGTTTATTACAGATGAAAATTTCCTTCAACTTTTGATTGAAAATAAGATTATCAAGTCATTGTTTAATGACTAAATATGTGAATTTTACATGTGTATTGTCATCATTGTGTGCTCTGCATTGAACCCATCACACGTGAGATACACCCAGGTGGAGCAGCGTGCAGCAATGTAAGAGGCATGTGGAGCAGGCAGGGAATAGGTTTATTGCTCAACGACACCATGATATGTGGACATGGCTGGGAATCAAACCTGAGCCTTTCTGGTCCCAAGTCAGCAACAAGCACCCCTAGTCCAATGAACATGCCTAGATGTGGGTTATGTTAAGTTCTAACAGAAAATAAGATATGAAATTCATGTTGAAAACATGACCTGGAACAGAAATGCTGAAGTGTTTTAGAACGTGCAAGTCCTCTTCTTTTTTTAACAATCTAGGAAAATGATGACATTTCGATAAACAGCAGCATGAAATAATCTAATCTCTGGATTTGATCATGTTTTCCACTTCTTGTGTGGGTTCACAGATTTGGATGAGTGCCAGCTGCAGGGTGTTTGTCCCAATGGAAAATGTGTGAACACTGTGGGTAGCTACAGGTGCATGTGTAAACCTGGCTACGCCCCTGACCCCATGCTCACCACATGCATATGTAAGTACACACCTGCTCTGCATCTATAAAGTAACAGACAGCAGAGGTCCTGCATTCCATTTGCATGCTGGTCTCCCAAGTATTGCTCTTTCAAACCTTCCTTGAGTTTATTACTTCTTGCTCCTCTCTGAATACATAATGAAGTGTGCAGTTTGTTCAGCACAACTGCAGAATTTGACTGAAACGTGTTCGAGGATATGCATATGTGAATACAATGCATGGAGGAAAGCATGGTGTTTGAGAATGAAAATAACTGAAGCATGAGCTGCTGGAACCTCATACCAAACTTAACCTATTTCATACCTTCCACTTCAAATCCTTAATACATTATGACATCAGCTAAAATGTCAAACAAACTGAATGCAAGGCTCTGCAAAGTGTTTAACACTATATTTATATGAAAAACTTCTTTTTTTAATCTTTAAAATAAAAAAAAACATTTGAAGGAACAAACAGGATCACGCTGTAGACGAACAGATGCTGGGATATATTCATCATTTAACACGGATTC